TGTCGTCGCAGTGGAAATGAGGAGAAGTGGAGCATCACTGGGTGGATGCACATCTACTATCGATGGTGCACGGGACTCGTGCCTTCAACACATCTCAACGTCACGTGCTACGTGCACTACATTGGTGACGTCAAGTGACATGCAACGCTATCTCTCCCCTCCTCCACATTGCGCCCACTCCTCCTCCTCCTCCTCCTGTTCCTACTACCCTCCCTCCTTTTCACCGTCAATGTCCTCACCACCAACATTACGCACTTCCCATCTCTCATCCCTTCGCATCTCTTCTCCTCATCTCATCCATTGCAGCCTTGGTGGCGGTGGACTGAGTGATGTGCAGCATCAACTGCTCCAACACGTATGCACAACAGCAGAGCCAAATAGAGATGAAGTGAAGGTAGGTGAGGAGGGGGAAGTGTGATGAGTGAAATGGATACGGAGGCATGGCAGGATGTGACAGTTAAGGGAGGATGATGTCAGTATGAGGAGGAGGAGGAGGAAGGCTGCATATGGATGCTTTAATCTGCAATCATTTTCTATATTTAACAGATTTCAAAAAGGGGCAAAAACACTACCTTCCTGTGATTTGTTCGTGAGGTGTTGAAGGGTATTTTGTACAGAACAATCGAGCGGATCGATTAAAATTACTACCTATAGAGGGCATCGTAATAGATCATTTGGCTGCTCCACCTACTTTTTCCACCTTCCAAACACAAGAAGCGGAGGATAATCGACTAACCATTCTTCCAAGACCAACAGACACAATCCCACCCAAGACTAAATTTTGTGATCACCTTTTCTGACTGCTTTAATATTTATATTGCAATAAAATAGGGTGCTAAAAGCATCGACAGAAAATGGAACTTACAACTTGGCATCTTTACTAAAGCAAAAATATCTACCTCCTTTTAATCATGAGAACGAGGGTCAGTTTAAGTCAAAATAGGTCATAGAATCCATCAGCATTTAGCCTTTTACACTTTACGCTTTTATGCCCTCTTACTGCTTGGAACTGTGGCATAAATAATCCCTATTTTTTTGAAAAACTTTTAGGGATAAGGCGTACTACTCATTAATTTTGTCAGTAGCAATAACTAAATCTGAGCTCATGTGAATTGGGCGAAAGTTAGTCTGATATACTCCATAATATAACTTTTGATCACTTCCTTTAACTAGCTCTACTCTCAAATATCGACCGTGAGTAATGATTTCACTTTAGTATGCTTTTTAACGCTCTCGACTTAATACCGTTGTGACTTCAACATCTCTACGAGGCTGTCGACTTATGTCTCCCAATTTTTCTTCCAACTCTCATCCTGATTCATCCGTATGAAGTTTATCAACAGCTGTTGGTGAGATGTAAACTGTAGATTGAGGCAGCTCCTTACATGTCCACGGAAACTCCTGTATTTAACAAACCCTTCAGCTAATCACCTTATCTCCACTAAAGAGCAAAGCATTTATCAGTGATGATTTCAATAATCACATCAACAGTAGCTTTGGGATCTTATGCAGTAATATTTTGTCCCAAACGCCATTTCCTTAGTGCAAATACCTGCACCCAATCATCCCCGATTTCTGGACTCTTCTACAGTAAACATAAAAGCACCCGAAGGAAGTGAAAAATTCCAAAGGTCTATAAGCAGCCACCAATATCATATTTATGCTTCAAATCGTGTCAAAGTACACCTTCAATGACCCCGTATCATGTGCCTCCAATCCACAGGCCAAATTCTCATCCCCTCCACCCATAACTTCCTTGCCCACCTCCATGCTCGAGTTTTACGCTTAAGAACGAAAAGCCTTAAAGTGTTAGGATTAAAGTTCCTTTTTAAAAACTCCTTCCACTCTCTCACCACCACATGTTGGCCTCCTTCACCCACCTTCACGCCTGGAGTTACCGTAGTAACCTTGAGGACACGCGAGATCTGTACGGCAGGAGCGAAAAGGCCCTCTCCTACCTCTGCCACATGTGTACAAGTCGAGGTGGTTACCAGAGCGGACAACTTTTGTGTAGCACTGAAAACGACACGCACTAAACCTGGTGGAGACTTGCGCAGTGACTTGATGGTGAATTTTGGAGCGTGAGAAACGCAGGTCAATGTTTACATGCAGCCTCTCCACCCCTTTTCGGCCAGCTTTGAAACCACTCATGGGATGGAGTGATCAGCTAATGAGTGAAACCTAAAGAACACAATTGATGTCAACACTTAACGCGAGTGAAAAGAAAGACTCGTTTTATGACGCTGGATGGAGGTCATAAGCCTACGCTTGCTTTGCTTCCAGTAAAATAATAACTTAGTCCCTTGATTAAGCTCAAACATTTCAGGCTTAAAACTAGCCTTTCGAGAGTCGAAAAAGGAGACCTCCGCATTTCAAAAGTAAGAATGCTTGTCGAGTGAGAAGGTAGCCAAGAGTGAACATATTTTGAGGGCGCCAAAAGAACCGTACTCGCCCGACATCATCCAAGGTCTCACTCGCCTTTGCTCCCTCCTGGTTGGCCCAATTTAAGGCGAGGTGTACTCTACCCGCAATACTGCCCCCAGAGTCCAAGGCCAACCAATTACTACAGCTTAGCTTAGCTGCCCCCAGCGCACTCAGAAATTCTCTTTATTGATTATCGGCTTAGAGGATTTATAGGGTCCGTTCCAGGCCACTGACCATAGCAACTTGTGACTCAGGTGCCTAGGTGACACGTATTCAACTCTTGTAATTCATTTAAGTGTTCCTCAAACTACTCAATTTGCACGAGCACGAGACACACCTAAAACACTAAGAGCAGCATTAGCATTAACGCATTTGGCATTTGAAACGTCCAGATGGAGCTCAGGGCCATCACTTAGAGCTCTCCCCGCCCCCTCCCCTTCCCCCTTCAATAGTTTTCTCCCGCAACAGCGCTGTTTTCTAATAAGAATAGAAAAAAACTTGCTTGTCTACATAACACGTGTTACAAGCGACGCCAAAAACAAAGATATTCATCTCGATTTATACACCAGGAGTCTGTAGCAGTGCTAATAGCCCTCTTTGCGCTGGTAATAAAAGCATATTTTCACTGGAAGCACTGGAGTGTGGATAAATACCCCCCCCCCAACACGTTGGAATGGTTTGAAGAGAGATTAGTGACCCTCTGGATCATGCGCTATCAATCAAACGAGTGCACAGACATTGGAAACGCAAATGTGGAACAAAGTGGTTTATCCTCGGCGGAGAAGAAGGAAGGCACAACTGCCAAGACACCTTGTACGTCAATTAGCCGGCTTAGCTCTCGACTTCTCTTTTTTGGTTGTGTAAACATCATGCCTGGGAGGAGGAGAGAAAGGGGAGTGGGAAAAGACAGATCATAAAAACAATGCTCATGGAAGAAAATGCCTGTATTTTTGTATGAGGTTTCAGCGCGACATTGCATCCTTACAAGACAAAAGCACAAATATAGCTCTGTTGTCTATATTGGCAAGGCCGGAGAAAGCAATGGAAAATTGTTGTGCAGTTACTGTTAAAAACAGATTTAAACGCCTCTTACGTAAGTAACTGCAACATATATACACCCATGTTAAGTGAATTACCGAGAAAGGATAGGAGGAGTGATGCTGAAATCGAAATGAGTTGATTGGAGGTGAAGGGAGACCACTCTTCCAGTCCTTTATGCAATTGACTGTCTTTGCTTAACTCTCGCCGAGGTACCTTCAGACTGTGAAGCAGATTCTGAGGCCCTTCTGGGCGGTGGAATGATCACCACAGGTATTCCAGCATGGTGGAGAACAAAGTCGCTGACGCTGCCCAAAAGGGTCCTTCGGATACGTCCCATGCCCCGGCTGCCCATCACAATCATGTCGGCTTGTTGCTCCTTTGCTAGACGACAAATGTGTTCACCCGGTCTGGCACCGATGTGGAGCATGAATCGAGCTCTAACTCCAGTGCCTTTGCACCTGTGAAGGTACCGTTTGCCAAGCTCACGACCTTGGTCCACTAATTCTTGGACGTGTCGGCTAAATTCGTCAGTATAGAAAGCTGGTTTGCCAGCGAGACCGTAATTAATGCCAGCATTGGCGGGTTCAACAACATGAACAAGAATCAGTCCATCATCTTCCTTTGCAAAATTGTTCGTGTACCATTCGAATGCTCGGTTGCTGCTTTCATTACCATCTACCGAAAGAAGAACTCGACGCTTGACGTTGGCAAGATAATCCTCATTCTCCGAATTGCTCCGCGTGGAGATTCGATGAGAGAGTTGCGATGGCGGAGCCGAGGCTGGAGGGGAAGAAGACATGCTGAGGCCGAGAGGAGGAGAATGAATGGTGAATAAACGAAGGCAGGCAAAGTGCGCATGGATGCTTACATCAAGTCGCCTGTTGATTGGTCAAGGCACAAATATACAACTGTCCAGTGGGCCAATTAATTTTAACCTATCTTCACGCTGATTGGTTGTTGTACCGCTGTGTCTGGTTGGCATAGCGGTTCTGACTTACAAGACCAAAACGCACGGTCTTTGTGCAATGATTTACTCCAACCGAGGTTTAATGCGTGCTTTGTTATCGTGCCTGCACAATTCGGACCGGGTGTATTAAGTTCTCCCAACGGTAAAGGTTCAATCTTTGTGACCATATTTAACTCTGCGCATGCTACCTAGCTACTATTATCAATTTCAAGAGGAGATTTTATGACCAACAGATTGTAGTAATTTCAAGACTTGTCTGGGAGGATGCTACACTCGTAATGAGTCAATTCAGTTAATTTAAAAGTAGGCAAATCATGCTGGTGGAAATAAGACCCACCATTACTGGTTAATTTGTTTTGAACGATGGCGGCAATGGATGTTGATGTACAGGCATTTATGAATTAGGACGCTAAAGTGCCTTGCGTGGGAGGAGGCGCAAAACGGGACGAGAATTAGTGCAGGTGTGACCAGTCTGAGCCAGCTGTCATTATGCTTGGCATATTATTGAAGCTAGAATTGACGGAAAGAAGGTATTGGAAATGCACAAAAATTGGGAGCATAGGGGTGAGGTTGGCTGAATGGTGATGGCGGAGATATCGAGGAGGTAGTCATGGCGCATGCAGGGCTACTCTCAAGTACACGTGGAAGTAGACCCAAACCTAGTGAGGTGGCGAGGAGGCATCAGGGTTGGAGAAGTAAGGGTGTGAGGGTGAGGGTGTGTGCGAAGTTGAGTGGAGTGTGATGCTGCAGCAGCAGTAGTAGTAGTAGTAGTCGGAGTGATTGAATGGTATTGGTAGGGGGTGAGGAATTGGAACTGAAGGCGGCAACGGTTTGGCAATAAGGTCTGCCGAGGTGTGGGGAGGAGGGAAGAGCACAAGGGAATGGTGAAGAGGTGTGGCTGAGTGCAGTTGGAGAGGCGTGCGTTCAAACAGTGGGAGGGACAGTGACGCAGCGATGCAGTGGGAGATGTGGATGGACAGAGGGTGACGTGAAGGTGTGAGAGGAAGGCGGTTGTGTAGGTGGGTAGGGGGAGGGGGGGAGTGGGAGGGGATGAGGGATGGGACGGCAGAGTAGGTAAGGCGAGAGGAAGGGGAAGTGGAGGTGATGTGAATGTGAGGAAGGGAGTAATATAGTGGGAGATGGTGTTTGGAGGTGGTGTGGGTGGAGGAGCACGTGCCTTCAGTGGAAGTTGTAGGTGGTGCAAAGGTGGTTGTGTTCGTATTTTGACCGCATTTGGTACACGCTGTAAACATAAGCATTGACAGCTCAGTTGACCTCTGCTAGGGTTACCGATGCAGTTGTGTTGAAATTAGAGCATTCGATTAGCTGTGCGATTTGTTTCTTTCCACCAATTGTATTCTCCGCCCCCAAAACTATTCTATCAGCTCAGAACTTTATGAAATCGTACTGATTAATGAGGCGACATAAAAATATTCCGAAATCTTTTATTTCCGCTTGCTTAACCTAGCAATGGGATGGAATTTTAACACACTGAGCACCTCTGTATCCTCTAAGTCTGTATTTAAAGGGTGACTGCAGTAAGTGAAGTCATAAAATATTCAATGGACAAGGAATTGAATGCATTTGGTCAGAAGTCGTTCAAATTGTAAAAATTTGGTGCAAGTTTAAATGTAATGCTAACCCATGAAATGAAAACACTCGTACTCATAAAGTAGTCAAATAATTATCATCTCAATTTTGTTTTGTTCACAAATTTGGTAGTCCCTTTTTTTTCTTCTTCCTCCTCCTACCGACATCATCCTCCCTTAACTGTCGCATCCTGCCACGCCTCCGTATCCATTTCACTCATCACTCTTCCCCCTCCTCACCTACCTTCACTTCATCTCTATTTGCCTCTGCTGTTGTGCATACGTGTTGGAGCAGTTGATGCTGCACACCACTCG